GAGAAGAGACAGCAGAGAGAAGAGACAGCAGAGAGAAGAGACAGCAGAGAGAGAGAGGACAGCAGAGAAAGATACAGCAGATAGAAAGAGGGGAGAGAGCAAGGAGAGAGAGAAGAGACAGCCTAGAAAGAGGGCCGATTCACACCACAAAGTCGCTAGGGCAGGAGGGGGCGTGGTGGTGCATTGAAGTCAATAGCATCGCAGCCATCCCCCTCCCACCCGCAGTGCGATCGCCTGCACCCGGAACGCAAGCACATTAGTGCCTGCGTTCCAGTGCGATCTGCAAAAATAGTGCTTGCAGCATTTTTGCGGATCGCACTGGACCGGAACGCAGGCACTGATGCGCCTGCGTTCCAGGTGCGTGCAATCGCACCCCCTCCCGCAGGTGTGTTTTCGTTGGTAGATCTCATTGAGCTCGTCATTTGAAGAGTAGATCTCCAGAAGAAAAATTGTGTGTGCCCCTGCTTTAAGTCATCCCTCTGTTCTCTCATCTTATAAGTATGTCAGAGAGCTGCCCATCCATCTCCCAGTCTGGGTGCTGCTGCGCAGAGGGTTACAGGAGGCTGACATCAAGATGTACATCTTGCAAATGATATGAGAATTACAATCAGAACCCGTATTGAAGAGCCGCCTCAATCCCCAGTCCCTCAGTTTCATCTACCTGATCCTCCTGGAAGATCTCACAATGTTCCTCTGTGGAGTCCCGGGAGCACAGAGGACGGGGATGTCCACCTATAGAAAACGCACAAATGTAAAGACATGTAACCGCAAGAATTACCAGACAACTACATCTAGCACTCGGTAAAGAACAGAAAAGGACAAGTAGTAGCCTGTTATTCCTCTTGAAGACTTGGCTTCAACAGAAAAGCAAAGTGCCACCTCGGTGTAGAAGACCACAGGCAGCTGATTTCACAAGGACATGGACCTTCCTAAGCACCAGGATGAAATGTGCCGACCAAGATGCTTATCTGTCTACACTTGCCTCTTCTTCTCCAAACCCGGCTCCGAGAAACTTTGAGGAGGTGGGTGACAACTAGGGATGCACCGATACCACTTTTTTACGACCGAGTACCGATACTTTTGATCAAGTACTCGCCGATACCAATTACCGATACTTTTTCTTAAAGGGACAGGTCACATTTTTTCAAAAGCAATACAAACTAATGATTTAAGGTCAGTTTCTTAATATTATGATTCATGAGATGACGAGGGAGCATGACGCCGCCTTTCCGGCCAATCAGAATGCCGGCGCTGCGTCATTACACGGCGCCCGGCTTCCGGATTTGCTAGCTTCCTGACCAATCGGGAAGCCGGGCAGGGCGTCATTACACGCTACCCGGCTTCCTTATTGGCCGGGAAATCGGCTCCATGCTCTCTCATCACAAGTGACGAGAGAGCATGGAGCCGTTTCCGGGCCAATCAGGAAGCCGGGCAGCGTGTAATGATGCGCAGCCTGGCTTCCTGATACAGGAAGTACTCGTGCTAGGTATCGGAGGATTTGGGCGAGTACGATACCGATACTAGTATCGGTATCGGTGCATCCCTAGTGACAACCAAAAGAAAATGTCTAGGAGGTGGAAGTGAGAATGCGGCCCAGAGCAAGGAAACCAAACCGGCTATCTCCAGGCTCCACCATGACACAGAAATTGGGGAAGAGGGTTACTGAGGTTGAATGTTTAACATAGAAGGCGGACTTTATGACTGGTGACTGAAGCGGCCCATGAAATTGGGGCCAAAAGTAGAGCTAAAGGTCACCTGCTAAGTGAATAACTGTACCTCATGAGGGAGCACTGGCACTCGTGCTCCTTACTGTCCTCCGCACGCCCTGTTCCCACCTCCAGGGGGTGCCGGACACGAGATGCAAGAGAAGCCGCCTTGTCTTACTGGCCTCCAGGTACCTGATAAGGTTATATCAGGGATGGCCAAACTCCGGCCCTCCAGCTGTGGTGAAACAACAAATCCCATGAAGCATCTCTCTCCAGGAGTCATGTCTGGGAGAATCTTACAAAGCCTCATGGGATTCGTAGTTCCACCACAGCTGGAGGGCCGCAGTTTGGACATCCCTGGGTTATATGGTGGGGATGAATACTCTACTCCATTCTGTGCCAACTCATGCTCTTCAAACTTGATATCACCAGGGGTGTCTTCAAGAGCATTAATCACTTGGTCACTACAAGGCTGAGATGTTGGACAAGCTAAAGGTCCTCCTAAAGTAAAAAGTGCAACCAGTTCTTAGAGGGTATACAACACCAAAGGGAAAACCATAGACAAATACTTCTATGGCAGTG